CTTAAAATGTTGGACTCTCAAAAAACGAAAAGTATCACATAAATTAGGACGAAGGGAGTACAAAATTAAATTAAAGAAGAATAGTCTTGTTAGAACTTCTTAGGATCTATACAATCGTTTTGAGAAAGAAATGCATGTTTCTGTCATGTTCTTAATATCAAAATTTTCAATCTATTTTTACTATAGCTTACAATATTATCAAGTGACAATTACAAATTATAATGAGACAGCTTGGGTATTAGACATAAAGAACTTGAAAGAATACACATATTTTCTTCTCAAACTCATGGTGTGGATCCTAAAAAATAAGAACAAGATACAATAGTTGTTCTCTAATTTGTACTACTCTTGAAGAACTTAAAAATTCAACAAATATTCACGTAGGAATAATAATAATTCAAAGTTGAAATAGGAATAATAATTTAAGGTTGGAATAGAATGTTAAAAAATAACAAAAGTCCCACATCGGTGGTTAATGAGATGGATGGACTTCCTATAAGGCTTGGGCCTCCCTTTGAGCTAGATTTTGGGGTGTGAGGCCTAAGACCTAATTTAACATAGAAATCCTTAGTTGCTTAGAATTTGGTATTTAATTAATCTTTAGTTAAAATTTACTTGTCCTAGTTGATTTTCTAATCCTTATTGAATTTGGTTTCTTATTATTACTATTATAAATAGGAAGGTTGCTGAACCAGAAAAGAAAAAATAACAAGAAAGAACAATAGAGATAACTTGAATATTTTGAGCAGGAAACGAACTTGAATGTTTTTGTGTATACACTTATTTTAACCATATTTTAGATTGTTAATCCAGCTGATTTTCCAGAAAAAAAATTGTTTAATTTATTGTTGTTGAAATCATGGTGACTTGTAAACCACAGAGAACGCCGGCAGAGATCGAAGATATAATTCTTCGGAAAATCTTACTTGTATCTCTAGTTGATTCATTAGTAAGCGATACACGCATTGTGTATCTAGAGATGACGGCGGCGGAGTTTTTGAGTGAGGGTAAAGAGTTAAAGTTGTCTAGGGATTTGATGGAGAGGGTTTTAATCGACCGACTTTCCGGTAATTTTGTATCGGCGGAACCACCATTTCAGTATTTGGTCAATTGTTACCGTCGGGAACATGAAGAGGGGAAGAAGATTGCGTCGATGAAGGATAAGAATGTTAGGTCTGAGATGGGATTGGTGGTTAAGCAAGTAAAGAGACTTGTTGTATCATACTGTAGGATACATTTAGGAAATCCTGATATGTTTCCCAATTGGGATATGGCACCAGCAAATGTATCTCTGTTGCTTCCTTTGTTGTTTTCCGAGTTTTCAACTTCTGTGGATGAATATGGTGGGAGCAGTGGTAGTGGTGGAGTTTCAAGTCCGCCTGGGTTTTTGGATGAGTTATTTAAGGATGGGAATTGTGATAATATGGAACCAATACTGAAGCAGTTGTATGAGGATTTGAGAGGGACTGTGCTAAATGTTTCAGTTTTGGGTAATTTTCAGCAGCCTCTCAGAGCTTTATTGTTTTTGGTTAAGTATCCAGTAGGTGCAAAGTGTTTGGTGAATCATCCTTGGTGGATTCCGGATAGTCAGTATATGAATGGAAGAGTTATTGAGATGACAAGCATTTTGGGTCCTTTCTTTCATGTCAGTGCTTTGCCTGACCATACAATCTTCAAGAGTCAACCGGATGTTGGCCAGCAGTGTTTCTCTGAATCGGCCACAGGTCGTCCTGCTGATCTCTTGTCTTCTTACACAACAATCACAACTGTTATGAATAACTTGTATGATGGCTTGACAGAAGTTCTGATGACTCTTCTGAAAAATTCAACCACTCGTGAAAATGTCCTTGGATATCTTGCAACAGTTATAAACAAAAATTCGTCAAGGGCAAAGTTGCAGGTTGATCCATTATCTTGTGCTAGTTCAGGCATGTTTGTAAATCTCAGTGTCGTTATGCTTCGGCTTTGTGAACCTTTCTTAGATGTCAATTTGACAAAACGGGACAAGATTGATCCCCAATATGTGTTTTCTAGCACCCGTCTGGAACTGAGGGAGTTGACTGCTCTGCATGCATCATCAGAAGAAGTCTCTGAATGGATAAATCAAAATAATCCTGGGAAAGTTGATGTCTCTAAAGATGGCAGTGTTGGAAAAAATCAGTTGTTGGCATCTCAGGAAGCTACAAGCTCGGGGAATGACAATGGTGGACCTTCAATTCTCCACTATAACAACCCAATATCAAGTAGTGAGAAAGCTAAATACCCCTTCATATGTGAATGCTTCTTCATGACTGCACGGGTGCTCAACCTCGGCCTCCTAAAAGCATTTTCAGACTTTAAGCATCTTGTTCAGGACATTTCAAGATGTAAAGATGATTTGTCTACCATGAAAACCATGCTAGAACAAACACCCTCGCCACAGTTGCAGCAGGAAATATCTCACTTGGAAAAAGATCTTGAGTCGTATTCACAGGAAGAATTATGCTATGAAGCCCAAATACTGAGGGATGGAGGACTTCTCCAGCGTGCATTATCCTTCTACAGGTTGATGCTTGTTTGGCTGGTCGGGCTTGTTGGTGGTTTTAAGATGCCTTTACCTTCCCCTTGCCCTATGGAGTTTGCATCTATGCCTGAGCACTTCGTTGAAGATACCATGGAGCTGCTAAGTTTTGCTTCTCGGATTCCTGAAGCTTTGGATGGTGTCTTGCTGGACGACTTCATGAATTTCATTATCTTGTTCATGGCAAGTCCAGAATATATCAGAAACCCTTACCTTAGAGCAAAGATGGTTGAAGTTCTAAACTGTTGGATGCCCCGTGATTACAGCTCTACTGCAATGTCTACTTTGTTTGAGGGGCATCAACTCTCTCTGCAGTACCTTGTGAAAAATCTTTTGAAGCTTTATGTTGACATTGAATTTACAGGTTCCCACACGCAGTTCTATGATAAATTTAATATCCGCCACAACATTGCTGAACTACTTGAATATCTTTGGCAAGTTCCAAGTCACCAGAATGCATGGAGACGGATCGCGAAGGAGGAGGAGAAGGGTGTTTATTTGAATTTCTTAAACTTCTTGATTAATGATAGCATCTATCTTCTCGATGAAAGTCTCGGTAAAATTCTTGAACTAAAAGAGCTGGAAGCTGAAATGTCTAACACAGAGGAATGGGAGCGAAAACCAGCTCAAGAAAGGCAGGAGAGAACCAGTCTGTTCCATTCACAAGAGAATATAATTCAAACTGATATGAAATTGGCAAATGAAGATGTGAGCCTGTTAGCATTTACTTCAGAACAAATCACTGTCCCTTTTCTTCTTCCTGAGATGGTGGAAAGAGTTGCTAGCATGTTGAATTACTTCTTACTACAGCTGGTAGGTCCACAAAGAAAATCTCTTAGCTTGAAAGACCCTGAAAAGTATGAATTTCGTCCGAAAGAGTTGCTCAAACAGATTGTGAAAATATATGTGCATTTGGCGAGAGGAGATAAGGAGAACATCTTTCCAGCTGCAATTATAAGAGATGGTCGATCGTACAGTGATCAGATATTTAGTGCTGCAGTTGATGTCCTTGGAAGAATTGGTGAAGATATGAGTATCATACAAGAGTTCATCGACCTTGCTGCAAAGGCCAAGACTGCAGCTTCAGAAGCACTGGATGCTGAGGCTGCTCTTGGAGACATTCCTGATGAATTCCTTGACCCGATCCAATATACTTTAATGAAGGATCCTGTCATTCTTCCCTTTTCGAGGAAAACAATGGACCGGCCTGTTATTCAGCGGCACCTTCTTAGTCAGAGTACAGACCCATTTAGCCGGTCTCATCTAACTGCGGACATGTTGATTCCCAACACCAAGTTGAAGGCGAAAATCGAAGAGTTCATCCGGTCCCATGAACCGCAGAAGACTTTGGAGGATTAGAATTTGTAACACACAAATACAACCATACAAACAACTGATACTTGAAATTTGATTGAGTAGGGATTTTCTCTTTTTTCTACATTTACCCCTGATCATTGTATTATATTGAGTTTTCTTTCCTTTATGGGATAGTTCTTCTTTTCACTTGTAGTAATTGATTACTTCTTACAGAAATAGATAAATACTCCAAAAACAATTTAAAGTCTTTACTTTTCATTTTATTTTTATGGTGGAATGTGGGAGGGATTAAAACTTGAATTCTCATCAACAAAATAAAAGCTCAAATAATTAATTAACTGAGCTATTAAAATTCTCCAAATATGTTAAGTCTATAGTCCAATCCATAATATTTTTTTCATTACCAAGGTCAATATAATCCTTCTTTAAGTTCCAAGAATAAAGAGGAACTGATGTTCTTAACATGTTCACATTATGGACTTCTCAGATACAACTATGTATAGGTGAACTGAATTTGGTCGGCCAAAAGTTATTTGATGCTGAAGAAACAAGAGCTTGTCATACAAAAATAATTAGCACTTCTTCTGTAAGTCGAGTGGTATACAAGATTTAGTTCAACTTCTAAAACAGAATTAAGTTAAAACTTAAGAAGAAAACAATATCTATATAATATTATGAAACGCTTAAACTGTTGTACAACAAAATAATCCTTGAATAACTTGCTCAGAACCGCAAAATAAACATTAAAGTTTTTCCTAGGTATGGCTATTAGCAAAAATTAGAGAAGCAGACTAATTTAATTGAGAATTAATGGGCTGAGTAAAACATTGGAGAATTTTATTTGAGATGCAGGCACAATTAGCCATTGGTTAAAAGGGAGTTCAATTCATATTATGTGTAGCTTTGCTACTTTGTGGCTACAATTCTCAGTTGTTATGGTGCAGTGAGTATTATATATATTAGTATTGTTTTGAGAAATTAGAGTTGTTACGTACTTGGTATGTTGACATAATCATTTACTTTGAACATCACAGATACACAATCATGCTCTGAAAATAAATTCCAGATAGGAAACACCAAATTTCACAAGAAAATAACGAAACAAATCAGATCCAACACAGAATTTCAGTAGGAAAAAGCTTTAATTCATTAGCAGTAATCTTTTAAAGGCCAATTACAAATCGAAATCAAACATCCTTTACATTGACCCAAAATACAAATTCAAACCCTAGTTGCTAGTGAACTTAGTAACAGCCTTAGTTCCCTCAGAAACAGCATGCTTAGCCAATTCACCAGGCAAAACAAGTCTTACAGCAGTCTGAATTTCCCTAGATGTAATTGTAGGCTTCTTATTAATCCTAGCCAATCTAGATGCTTCCTGAGCAAGCTTTTCAAATATATCATTAATGAAACTGTTCATTATTCCCATAGACTTGCTGGAAATACCGATATCAGGATGCACCTGCTTGAGCACCTTGAAGATGTAGATCTTGTAGGTTTCAACGCTCTTCTTTGTCCTCTTCTTCTTTTTGTCGACGGCGGCATCCTTCGGGAGCTTCTTTCCGGCTTTCGGCTTCTTCTCTGCCGGAACTTCCTCGGCCTTCTTCTCCTCTACTGGTTTCTTCTCAGCAGGCTTTTTCCCTCCTGTCTTTGGTGCCATTGTTGAGATGTTTAACAGAAGGAAGAAAAGGAGTTTTGATGAAGAGAATGCGTGAGTGATGAGGTAATGAATTGGGGGAAGTGAGTATTATATAGGGTTTTGATTCTGTTGTTTGATTGGTTATTATCGGTTTACGCGGATCGTGATTATGGACCGTTGATGAAAAGGAGAATGGACGTTCCGTATTCTCTGTTTTAATTGTTTACAAACTGAAAAGACAAAAGAAAAAAGTACTCCCCCATTCACCTTTGTTTTACAAAATATACTACATATATTTTCCCCTTTAGTTGTCCTCTTTAGGATATTAAGATAAAATAATTGTTTTATTTTATATTTAGTATAAATTATTTTAAAATTAAATAACACATAAATAGATAAATAATTAAAAGTTAAAAAGAAATATATTAGTTAAACTACATTTTTTATTAAAATTTTCATTATTAATTGTATAAAATTTATTGTGACAGTTAAATGCAAACAAAGGATATATTATTTTCCAAGTTTGTTAACTCTATACACTATTGAATATGGCTACGGTATTACAACCCACGCTACATAGATTAGGCATACAGGTATTTCAGCCCATTGTAGTTGAGGGCGCGCTATTTATATGCATTCATTAGTTTGCAAGGGATTCAAGATCGATTTTGATAGAGAGTAAATGATTGTTCATGTACCTATTTCCTTGGAGGCTTAAGTAGAGGCTCATTTACTTATCTTTTCTCATGTGAATCTTTTGTCTACAATTATTCGGGACCCCATTTTCGCATGACCGCATCAACACAAGATATACTTATTGGACTTTCAGCCTGTTGTAGTTCAAGGTGCGCTATTTATATACATTCATTAGTTTGCAAGGGATTCAAGGTCGATTTTGATAGAGAATAAATAATTGTTCATTTACCTATTTCTTTGGAGGCTTAAGTAGAGGCTCATTTACTTATCTTTTCTCATGTGAATCTTTCGTCTACTATCCCATTTCCGCATGACCGCATCAACACAAGATATACTTATGACTATATGTATTAACAAGCAGAAATCATCGAAGTATTAACTTAGGCAATCCTCTTTAAAAATAAATCATTCCTAAGAAAGAAGAGATAGTTAATAAAAATCTCCAAAAATATGTAGTTTTTTAGTAATTTTTTCATTACGTAAAACTCTATTTAGTTAAATAAACATAAAATTAGAATAACATTATTAATATCTTGCAGACTGTTACCTGAACGAGTAAAAATAAAGTGAGAAATTACAACCGGAAGATCTTTTTTCTCCACAGAATTAAACTGTGCATGGATTAGAAAACAAGAGATATTCTTTAGCTTCATTAAAAAAATGATTTTAAAACGTTTTTATTTCATTTCAATATTAAATATCAATCAAATATGCTCATAAAAAAATTATATATATATATATATATATGCCCATTATTGTTCCATTTAGAACTTGCATTTTACCATTTAAATTTTGTTTCTTATAGCACATATATGTTGATATCATTTCAAAACGTTTTTATTGATTAGAATGAGAACAAGTGCAGCTGATAGCCAAAAGTTCAAAAACGTTGATCGTATATTAATACTACAAACATCATTTTTTAGTAATCATTAAGTTCTCCAATCTCCATTAGGAGAGTATATTCTATGATAGAAGTTACTTTTCGTAAAGCTTGAGGCAGATTCACTCCATGAAATTAAAAATGCAAAGCTTGTTATATACAAGATAGGTACAGACTAAGGGAGGTGAATACTCAATCACAAGGAGCTACATTGATCAAAAAAGGTACCACAGCAGATCAATTATTGCTGAATGTATTCTGAGTGCTTCTTGCAATAATCGAAAGGTGAGAGGTAGTGCTCCGTCTCAAGGTTTAATTTAAAGTCACTAGTCGATTCAACTGTATGAGTGAAAGGCGAAAGTACGTGCAATCAGGTTTAACATGTCAAAGATCACCGAGTCGTCAAATAGGGGAATAGGTTGTTTTCCGCATCCAACAACTGAAAGGGGTTGCAAAGAAGGGTTGAGTTGCGTAATAGCCGATTCATAGGTCAATATATCGTTGGATTTGAAATCGAAATCTCTACCTTAGGCGGATAGGAATTGAGACTTTCAATGGTCAACTATTCTCTCCTAGTAATCAAAGCTAACCCCAGAAATCGGGTATTCCTTCTTAAGAGGACACTAACACTTTCGATCTTGCTAGCCGGGGCTCAGACTTTCAAGATTCAATCTTTCCCCTTCCAGTCCCAGGAATCCTTCTTATAGTAGAAGGTTTACTATGTCCCCGACTTCTCTTTATTAAGACATAGGTTGTCTACTGTAATTAGATTAAGATTGTAAAAACAAAAGCTTGTAATATAGCTAGACCAAATTCATATTCATACTCAAACAAGGAGTCCTATAGTTTACAACTCTTCTTTATATAGTAATTCGATCCATTGCTATTCACCCCTTCCCCCACAATCAGTAGGACATGCTTGCCTATACAGCTGCAAGAGGTGCAGGGTATAATGCTGAAAATTAAATGGAAGAAATGAAAGCAGTTTCAGAAACAATTAGTAGCTACGACTTAGGGAACAATGATCTACCATACTTGGAGAGCCCAAAACTGGAAAATTTAGAAAAGAGTACATGTTCAGACAACTGAGATCCACACACAAATTAAGAGGGAGAATTTAGATAGAAACCGCATAAATAGAGCTTGTAGATGTAGTGGTTTTCTCCAATGGTTGAAAGTGTTAATAGATTTGTGTTTTGGTAGAGACTTGAGATTCTGCTGTGCTCAAGAGCTCTTTAGGAGTATGGTTCTGTTCACGAAATGGTAATGTTTACATAATATCTTAACATAATGAGATGCCCTAAAGAGTTAAATCACCTACATTCAAGATTAAACAAATCCTCCGGTTCATCAACCGATAAACCATAGATGTTGCCTGATACATTCGGAAACACTTTAGTGTGTAATTTGAATTGAGAACAAAATATATACAGCTAACAGGAAGGAACAACAAACACTCGGAAAACACCTACAAGTTTCTCCAAGAAAATTAATACTGACGAGAATAGAAGTTCGATTCAGATAATAGAGATTTAAGCCCGAGTTAATTGACACATTCAACTTGGTTTACAAAAATTCCAGAAGAATAACTACAGAACACAATAGATTTTTCGAGATACGAAAAATTCGAACAAAACCAATACGGAATTTCATTTGGGAAAAGCTTTGATTCATTAGATTGTATCATACTAAGGCCAGTTACTAAACAAACATCAAAAACAACAATCCTTTACATTGACCCAAAACCCAAAAGATCCCCAAATTAAAACCCTAATTGCTAGTAAACTTGGTGACAGCCTTAGTTCCTTCAGAAACAGCATGCTTTGCCAATTCACCAGGTAGCACAAGTCTGACAGCAGTCTGAATTTCCCTAGAAGTAATAGTTGGCTTCTTGTTGATCCTAGCCAATCTAGATGATTCCTGAGCAAGCTTCTCAAAAATGTCATTGATGAAGCTGTTCATGATACCCATAGACTTGCTGGAAATACCGATATCGGGATGCACCTGCTTCAAAACCTTGAAGATGTAGATCTTATAGGTTTCAACGCTCTTCTTTGACCTCTTCTTCTTCTTGTCGGCGCCGGCATCCTTTGGGAGCTTCTTTCCGGCCTTAGGCTTCTTCTCAGCAGGAACTTCCTCAGCCTTCTTCTCATCAACTGGTTTCTTCTCCGCTGGCTTCTTTCCTGCCTTTGGTGCCATTGTTCAGAATTGAAGGCTGAATTGAAATTTCTTTTGCTATGGTTATGAGATTGTGTGAGTGATGAGTTAGGTTAAAGAAGAGTAGGATTTATATAGGTTTTGGGGTCTGTATTTGATTGGTCAATTACAGGTAACGAGGATCGTTATTCTAAGCCGTAGATGAAATATAGATCGGACGTTCAGTATTAGCTGTTGCGTGTTGTTAGGATCCACGTGGTTATCTGTGATTCGCTAGTTATGGTTTTCGCGGATCGTTTAATTTCTGCGATCTGTGTGAAAAAAAATTAGTGGGAAGTTTAAATTTTCGTTTTTTAGTGGGCGGGAAAAGGAATTTGCTGCTTATTTGAATTGCTTTGGTGAAAAAAATTGTATATTTGATTTCGATGAATTCTGAAATAAAGAAAAAAAGCACTTAGTAGCTTCGATACATTACTAAACTTCCAATTTATAGCTGCAATATTTATTTTTTATAGTTGTATAAAAATAAAAATAAATTACATTTAAAAAAAATCTGTGAAACATGTGTCTGTGTCACGTCTCAAATTTAAATGATTTTGTAACGACATTTAATTAATGTCTTACTTGTATAGGTAAACCATGATTAATTGATTATAGAGTAGATTTCTCAAAAGGTCACTTGAATATGTGACATTAGCTAATAAAGCACTTAACTTATTTTGTGTTTGAAAATCATTCGATTTATGAACTTTTGAAATAAAGAAATGTTATCTCTAGTCATCAAACATCTTACTCGATGAAGTTTCTAAATGAATTATTATTTTTCCATGTTATGTACATATTTTTATCATTTTTTTCCTTGATTAGATTTTTATCACTTCCACCTTTCTTTTGATTTTCCTCTCATTAATTACATTGTATGAAATTATACACGTTATACTCTTTTGTGTATTATTAGCTATGACATAATAGTAGTGTTGGAATGCATAACTTGGCAAGAGGATTATTCTAAATCATTTCCCTTATCATATATGTGTCACATTTTATCCTTGTTCCCTCAATACGGTAAATATAGGTATTATTTGTTATAAAACAATATGCATTAGTTTCAAATAAAAATAATAATTAACATTTGAATAAGTATAAATTCATTTCAACTCGGTTTTATAAACTTTCAATAATAATTGCATAAATCGTATGATTTGATACCATTTCAGTTGAATTGAATTATCAAAACCACGTTTGAATCTTTAACAGGGTTAAACATATGTTTGTACATTTCAACAAGAATAATATATCTTTATCGACACAATATCCAAGATCAACTCGGTAATTAATCTAGCGGTGAGTAGCATATGTCCCACTTGATGACTTGATCATATCGTCTTATCGCAGTGTTACGTGAATCATCTCATTCACGCTAATAGCTCAATACCAACATCTTCTTATGATAAAAAATTGTCGCCTTTGATAGGGTCAAAATCTATAATGGCACATATAGTTTCACTAGGATAATGATAATTTTTTGAATCTAATCTCGATAAACACAACTAATTATTTCAAATAATATTGAAATATCCTTAAAAAAAGATTCATGATCTAATAGCCTAAAAAACATGTACTTTTATCAAACCATGCCTTTCATAGTCAATCCAACCCATGTAAATAAAGTTCAATGTAAAATGTTTTTAAAAAATGCTATTTCAATTTATTCCTCACTTGAAATGGAAAAATTTAATGAATTTGAGACATTTAACCACACTTTAATGCAATGTTTTGTCAAATTTGATCCAATACACCCAATGTAGTCAAATTATATTTTACAACATTCATAACTGGATCAGTCGATGCAACGTTATAAACAACTGTTTGATAATTTGATTTTCTTTAGTAGTTCTATTTCAATTAATAATATAGTCAATCTCTTCGATCTCTCTTTCGTTGTTGTTGCTCTTAAATAAGTTTTTATCAATTTTGATTTATTTTTCCATTGAGGCAATTCTCACAACAATAACAATTGTTAATATTATATTAAAAGCAATATGGACATTTTGAATTTATCAATTAGAGTATTATTATCTAATTATATATTTCTCTTTACACTTACAATTCGAAAATAATTCTTTACTATCAAAATCAGGAATCAGGATAATTATTATGTTTTTTAAAAATGTTCAAGATTAAGTCAATTTTTATTTTTATTTTCTTTACAAATTCTCATGTGATCTCAAATTTTCTATCACGCTCAGATCTATCTCTGCCTCTCGATCGAACAAAAGTCGTTTGATTCTATATAAAAACACGTACTCATCATGGTCTAAAATATGAAATAAACCTCTGTGAAAATTTTATAATTGACATATATAGGACTAATAATTATAAGTTATGACATTATTTTTTATCTTTCAAGTTATAACAATAAAAAATTATAGGTTATAATATTTTACTAAAATAAAAATGATTTAAAATAACAATAAAAATTAATTAGTGTGAAAAATAAATAAGATAAAAACGGATATTTTAGTAGTAAATAATTTGAAAATATTAATGATAATTAATAAGAGACATAAAAATAAAAATAGAAGAGTCATAACAAAGGAATATTTATTTTTCTTGTTTAGCTCAAAGCAATTATTGGCATTTTGAAACAGATTTCTTTTCTTTTCTTCAAACGTTTCTCTCTCTTCTCAATATTTTTGCTGGTTAGTCGTCACTCTCGTCTAATTTCTATTCGTTTTTATTCAATAATCTTTATTTTCTTGTAATGGACGGTTTCTTATCAGCATTAATAAATCATGGTGGTAGATAGAATCCTTCAGGTTAGTCTTCTTTCAGATATGTTATTTGTATTGGTAAGAAAATGGAACAAAAATTATGAACATTCAAACTGGAATTTTTATAGATTTCGTTTGTGTACAATAGTTTTAATTAAGGTGTTTTTTTTGTTTTGTATACTGTTAGATTTTGATATGAACATTCTTTTTTTTTGTATGTTTCTGATTTAAAATTACATAAAATTTGTTTGTAATTGATATATTGGTTATACCATGTTGGTACGATTCTGGCATTATTTATTCTGGTGGCGTGATTCTGGTATGAATAAGTAATGACTTATGGCATGAAATAGGTATGATTTTGACATCCAATAGATATGAAAAGTGTGCATAAAAATTGTATGAAATTTGTATACTGATTTTTGATTTTTTGTTGTGTATAATAATTTTAATTATGACATTTTTTAAAAGTATAATGTTGCATTTTGAACATTTAATTTGTTCATTATTTGTCTGAACCAGATATTATTTTTTTGGTATGTTTCTGGTTAAAAAAATTACATAATCTTTTTTTTTGGAATTTGTATACTACTTATAACAGACATGTATGGCAATTTATAATGTTTTTTTGGTACGATTCTGGTATGATTGATTATTTTTTTTGGCATTATATTAAAATGAATTTGGGAATAATAATGTAATGAATTTGGTATATTGTGTATTTAATAAATGACAATTAATAGGTAGAAATGGAATTATTTTGGTATTATAGTGGTATGATCCTAGTATGAATAATTGATGAAATTTGGCATGAAATATGTATGAAATGTGTGAATAAACTTGAACGCTGGAAGGAATTTGTTGATGTGAAATTCAAGAGGTCTAAAGTTACATGCATTACATGTCGTCGAGAGGACCACAACAGAAAGACATGTTCAAATTACCCTGCACTGAAAAAAGGTTATAATTTATAATTGTGACAAACTCATGTTTTGATTTATTCTATCTTTTAAGCTAACGAATTATAATTTCAGAACATTTATTATGAGTACTGTAAAATCTGTTTTTATGTATTAATTGTATTTCAAATATATAGTGAACAAATTATTAAGTAATGCTAGTATGCAATTGGTATCCATTTGGTATGCAATTGAGTCACATAGATATTAGTTATTGTAATTTTCAATTAGTATTCTTTTGGTATCCACTTGGTGTCCGACTTGAAAAAATACAAAACAAGATGTAATTGAGGTGGATACAATATAAAATGATCACTGTTTTACATTGTCAGCTTCATTCTTCCCAGATTTATACAAATTAGATACCAATTTAATGTCATTCTTATTTTTCAATTTGGAGACCAATTAGATACAATGTAAGCCAACATAAAATATTTCATGTAATTTTAATTGGTGTCCATTTGATTTCGAACTGAAATTGCATTGTAAAAATTGAAACATTAAAATGTATTTAAGATTTCCAACCAAGTTATCCAAATTAAAACTAGTTAATGATGTATCCAATTGGTATGCATTTTGTATACAACTGGTATCCCACTGAAAAATTATAAGAAACAAAACGTAAAACTAGATAATGTGTTATTCATTTGATATCTATTTGGAAAGCTCAAGTGTAACAATGTATACAATTGTGGTGTACTGTGTTTATAAGGTGTTTTTCAAAACTAAAGTCTAATAAAAATTTGGCTAATGCTGATATCCAAATTGTATAAACTTGATATCCAACTTGAAAACTTTTGACAAATTAAAAATAAAATTGTATGAAGGTGGTATTCAATTGGAACAAATTACTAAAAGAAATAAATTTGAAATGTAAAACGATGCATATTGTATTGTTGCAAAAAACTGTAGCATAAACAAATATATATCATTCAAAAAATTTTAAAACATGGAAAAAACATGACAATGAATATACATATAGATGCATAGATCATACCAATTTCATGCCAACAGTAAACAAATTTCATACCAGAATCATATGCATAAAGAAACAACTTTTTAAAAAAAATCCTATTAAATTGAATATTTACTCTAACAACTTTTTTGCTTTTTTTTGAAATTTAAATTTCAAGTCATCTTTCATTGTTGCTCTTCTTTTAGAGGGTTTTGATGACTGACCCCATTCGACATTTGTTGATTTTTTTTTATTTTTAATTTTTTAAAATCTCGCTTACAAATTCTTAGTCTGAATTCGAAGGAGGTTCCACCATTTTTCCTTTTCTCTTTTGTTCCTTTTGATTTGGAGGACTTGCAATTTTCTTTTCTTCTTCTTTTCTGAAATTTGTGTTTTCTTTTGTGGGGTAACA